CAAGGTTGGACACCCCTGTGCTAGAGCCATATAGGTTGGAAATGTGAACCAGGAATTGTGTTTTTATATTGGTTTCTTAACATCTGATAATCACAAATGGATTTCTCGTGGTGGTGAGGTTGTTTCTGTTTTGGGATGAATTGATTAGACTCTGCTTCACTGACGTTGCAGATAAAAATCTAGACAATGCAGAGGAAGCAGCAGAACAGTTCAAATTGATCCAGGCTGCATATGATGTGCTGAGCGATGCACAGGAGAGAGCGTGGTAAGTTTTGCCTTCCATTCAAATCTTTTTCACTTGGGATGAAAGCTTGACAATGGTTAGAGGTTAACCAGTTTTTTTTTTTTTTTTTGCCATAATTTTTAGTTAAGTTTCATTATAAAATAAAAATACAGGAAAAAAATTAATAAAACTAAAAGAGAAAAGTAAAAAAAGAAAAAAAGAAAAAGTGGTGACTGACTTTTTTCAGTGCATTAAAATACACAAAGACATGCTTTACATTTCACAATATTTCAAGCTATTTCTATAGTAATAAAATCATTCCCATCACCAAAATCTAAAGTCAAAGTTTTATTTTTTCCCCCCAGTTTCGAGCAAAACATCCAGAAACTCTTTCCAAGTAGAAACAAAACTCAATATGTTCTTCTCTTTAATTTAAAGAGTTTAGGCAGAGTTGCACCTAAGTCAATCAGACCCTGAGTTGGCTGGGGTATTCTGGGAGTTGAAGTCCTCCCATCTTAACATGGCTAAGGTTGGGAAACCCTGTTATAGTAAGACCTGAAAACAGCCCACCTTTTAGCTGTGATTCAGAAAACTAAATTGGTTTTCCTGCTAATAGATACCATGCCTTGTTTATTCTGCAGTAGAAAGCTTCAAGGACTCCAAGTTAGTTTGTTCTCTCCTTTTTTTGTAGGTACGACAATCACAGGGAAGCTCTTTTGAAAGGAGGCATTGATGGAGGCTACCAAGATGACAGTCTGGATTTGCTCCAGTACTTCACCGTTACGTGTTATTCCGGCTATGACGATGATAAAAAGGTCAGGCTTAAACACTCCCCTGAGCAAGTAACATTTACCTTTGGGTGACCCCTGAGACCAGACAGCTTCTTGCTACTGGTGGTGAACCAATAGTGTGATTACCCGGGGCATGGCACAAAAGCAACAAAGTCACAAAAATAGGTAAAGTCCTTTTAATACCTCCAACTTGGCCCCCAATGTCCAGATATCATCGGCTGGAGAAAAAACTGTCCCAAGAAGAGTTTTTAAAAGGAAGAAATTCCATCTGAACACAAAGTACATATAAATTACAAATAAAAACCAACACAAACCACGCTGCAGCAATTAACAAGATAGGGCAGGATAAGGAATTGAAGACTTCCAAAAGATAACAAATCACACATAGTTGGGAGGATGCCAGAACTCAGATAAGACTTGATAAACCAGAATAATTCACAGCAAGGAGCTGTGCGCAAACACCCTCTTTATCCTGTTTTCCCAGCTGCAGCTAATGAAGGGAATCGGGGCCTTTTTCTCCCCTGTAACCCAAGTTGCTCCTTTATCCGTTCCTACCTGTGTGCCCTAGGATAAAAAGGGGGTGGGCCTGGGTCTTCCTCTGAATTCCCTCTCCCTTGTTCTATCTCTTCTCTGCTCTGCCCAGCCAGACTTTGCCCTTCTCCAGTTTCTTCCACAGCCAACGGAGCCACACTCCCATTCCCTGTCAGCTGTTCAGCTTCCTTCTCTGAGTCACATTCCTACAGGGGCATCATCGGTAGAGGTAAAAGTTGAAACAGAACTAATTCTTCTAACTTCTTGGGCCACAAACTCAAATAATCTATCCTTGAGCCCTAAGCAGGGGTCTCCAATCTTGGCAACTTTAAGACTTGTGGACTTCAACTCCCAGAATTCCTCAGCTCAGGAATTCTGGGAGTTGAAGTCCACAAGTCTTAAAGTTGCCAGGGTTGGAGACCTCTGCTCCAAAGCACCTGAAGGCAGGACAAGAAGCAATGGGTGGAAACTAATCAAGGAGAGAAGCAACTTAGAACTAAGGACAGAACTGTTATGACCCAGATGGTCAAGACAAGGCAGGCGTTTAGAGAGTTCTTTATTACTCTTACCAAATGTTCCAGCCAAAGGCCCTCCCAACAACCAGTAAGGCTCCACCTCCACGCTACCCTTCAGGCAGCCACTCTCAGACTCCCCAAAACAGCCTCCGTAGTACAAAGAAAGCCAACAGGGTAGGAGCACGCTCCCAGGGCAAGGCCCAGGTTTCCCAGTCCAACCCACCCAGCAGAGTCCAGGCACGATACAAAGGCCAAGAAACAGGGTCACAGAAAAGCACTTCCAAAGCCCCAGGGAAGCAGAGGCCAAACACAGAGGCCACAAGAGAAGGGTAGGTCCAAACTAAACACATTGCGAAGAGCAGCCTTCCAAGCAAGGCAAAGCAAAGGGCAAACGGGCATGTGTCGAAGCTGGGGGGGATAATGTAAGCCAAAGCAATCAATTGTTCCTGGCAAAGGCTAAGGCTTCTCCTTAAGTTACTCCCCTCCAGATGTTCTTTGTGAGGGGAGGGCGACCTTCTCCCGAGTAGCCTTGCAGCAGTTAATCTGGGCTTGCCTATGCTCCACTCCCTTTGCCCTTGGATGGAGTGGAGCAGACAGCTGTTCCTCATCAGAGGAGATTAGCTGCCTGTCAGCACCACTGTTGGTCAGCAGCCGATCCTCCCCTGTGTCTGGGCCGGCAGGCAGCTCCCCTAATGCCTGAGGGACCCGGGAAACCATCGTCCTCAGCCCCTGGAATGCCTTCTCTGTTGGACAGCCAGGGGTAGGATTTTACCAGTTTGGACCAGTTCGGTCGAACGGGATGTTGAATTTGCATCTAGTTCGCCAAACCGGTATTTGAACCAACTGGCTGGCCACACCCACCACACCACACCCCTCCCATGAGTCTCCACGTGGCCCATTTTCGATGCAGGTAAGTGCAGGGTCCGCACGGAGACTGTGGGAGGGGGAAAAATGGGCCTTCCAGAAGTCTGGAAACGGGCTTGTTTCCAGCTTCTGGTGGGCCTCCAGAGCCTGGGGGAGGCCCGAGGGAAGCCTCCGGACTCTTGGGAAGGCAAAAAATGGCCACGCCCACCATGCCTCATGCCCACCCAGCAGCTGGGCAGCGAACCGGTTGCTGGGATTTTTGAATTCTGCCCCTGCGGACAACCCAAGTTCCAACTCCTCCTCCTCTGAACTGGGCTCTTGAGGAGGCCATGGCAAGAACAATTAGTGGAACGACTTGATTCCAGAAGTTGTGGATGCTCCAGCCCTGGAATTTTTTCAGAAGAGTTTGGACTGCCATTTGTCTGAAATGATATAGGG